GACATGTTACAGGGAAAATGAACTTATCAGGCTTTGAACTTAATTACTAGTAAAAAACATAAAACTATTTGAAAAATAGGCAATCGTTCATCAATAACAGTAGCACCAACAAGAGAATGTATTCCCCAACAATCAAAGTCCTTAAATAAAAACTACATGAGCTAATAATTAATCAACTCGTGACTGTAAATTGTGAAACTTTCTTGACAAACACATAGAAGGACAATCACATCTTGTGCAACTTTTTTATAAGACTTGTACCTGAAAATAAAAAAAACATGACAAATCACACAAAATGGACATTTTTGTTTTTCACTATCAGGTGATTCATATACTATCATGCTACTATATCATGTCAGAGTACCACATCTGTAAGTTACCTAATAAAAAAAAAAGGCTACATAATTATATTTGGATCGCAGAACGGACATAACCCATATCATTTTCACAGCACAAAATTATTGGGAATGCACTGCATCAAATATTTAATATGGTTTAGTTAAGCCTCCTCCATAGAACTTCCACCTTAGTGTAAACTCACGATCCTATCTCTACACCCTTTTTTTCTTCTTTTTATTTCATTACGTTTCACTGTCCATCAAATAAATGAACACTATTATACTTTGGTCATCACCCGTCAGGTAATTGACCTTTTAATTTTATTGAACCCTAATCACTAGTTCAAAATATTTAAGTCCAAGTTAATAGTAGCACGCCCATCACCCTCGTATATGTCAATCTAATTTGTTTAACCCACTTCCGATATGGATTAAATTGGGGTGTGACTATCACACTCTGCACTACATCACAGAATCTCTCTTTTACCATTCGGCTGCAACCCACGGGACCACCACATACAAAGAAATTATTTATAAGCCAAAACCACTAATAGATTAAAGACAACCCTCAATAGTTTCATTAAAACCCAAAAGCTTCATTATTAATACTGAACAACTTTAATTATCTTAATGCTAATAACGATCCTATTATTATATTGACCTCAAAACTCAACCCGCCCCAGTTGATCTGACTCGTTGTTTGGGATTTCCAACACAATTTGATCAATTCCTACAGGTGCAAATGACCGATGGTAGTTCACCTCGTGAGAGATTATTGCTCGTGTAACTCGCAAAACCTATTTCTACCGTCGGCCTCAACCTTCTCCTTCTCAACATCGGCTTCACAACGGATACTGGAAATCAGCCCCACATAAATCCGACAAGTTGGCCAAACTCCTATCTTTGTGATTCTAGTTCTTAGTTCATTGTTGCAACCAACGCTGCCAAACTGATCACAACTACCGATCAAAACCAAACAAGGCACATGAAATGACCAAAGGAAGTAGAACAAAAGGTCAGTGACAATAAGTACAAGATTCACGAAAAGTGGATAGTTAAACCCCAAGATGATGAAAGAATACGGCCAGTGATCTCAAAATTACACAGCATCGCCATCCGATTACGATGTGAATTCAGGCGAACAAATTTGCAACAGAAATCATAAGTCGAGGAATCAGAAGTTATGGATAAGAATAAGTTCATATATCCAAATCTCATAGAAAGTTGATCTTTCGATACTAAAAGTTTGGGATAATAGGGGAGAGAAAGAGCGTCACCGTCGAAGGAGAGGAAGAGAGAAATGGATTCGTCAATAGGGGACGCCGCAACCGCCTTCCCGACGACTTCTTCCGTTCGGTTCGCTGTGCTATTTATTTATTGTGTGCGCGATCAGAGAGGAAGCCTTTCAAAATAATACAGCGATGTTTTTTCCCCATATTAAAATTACCCGCTGGTCTACCTGACTTGGGACTGAATCATGAAAATGGAGCCCACCAGGGAGCAATGTCCGAGACTACTCTGCCTCCAATAGCATGACCGGTAAGCGATGACGCATCAGAAAGCGTGTTGTTATACGGGAGGGGCCGCGCGATCTGTGCATCTCTCGGTTTGGTGCGGATCGCATGAACAGCCACGGGCAGCGATCGTCTCTATAGATGACGTGTCACAAAAGCATTGACTTAAAAGCGGTCCCGGTTAACATTCATCGCGATCTCGACGGTGCGATCGTCTCTATGGGACGCTGTTTGATGGGTGTGCTTCGTCCCGTCCCGCCGCGTGGTTGGGGTACGGTGGTGACGTGGTGCATGAGTTGCTTGTTTCGCGTTGCCTCCACATCATGTATGACGAATGCGCTTTGCTTATCTGAATCACCGGTTCGATCTGACCCGGTTGAGTTGCGTCGGCCGAACAAAGAGGATAGAATCGAGATGTAATTCCCAAAAATAATTGCTAATGGGAGAAAACCCATTTCAATTACCATTCCAGGAGGATGTCCGGCCTCTCCCCAAAGATCTCTGGGCTACAACGCTCGGACCGGGCTCGACCCGTGCGCGCAGGTTCTGGGCCAGGCTCTAGTCCGGCCTGCCGAGACCAATACGTGCATTGCACGTGCTATAGGCCCATAACAACTAGGATTTTTTAGTCTTACAAAATTTATCGAATAAAATTTAAAGTGAGTAATAATTATGAGTAGTATAATTATCGAATCGTATTTTCTTGGATTTCACCGGCTTCTCGTAATTAGGGCTCGTTGTGTGCACCTTCACCTTCTTCTATTTGTAACATATTAAGCATTGTATTCTTCTTAGATTATACCAATTTCTCTAAATAGTCTTGTAGTTCGTGTCTTTGTTATCTTTCCCAAAGGCGATATTTTATCTGAGAAGTAAGAAATGGGACACTCGAAATATGTTATGATTTTTGAAGTTTACTATTCATGATTCCTTTTTATTATTATTGATATTTTATTTAAAAATTATTAAAAAAAATATTATTATACTATTTTAAATTTAGTATTATCAATTTTATTTTTTATATTTATTTCTCTTACAATCACTTATTTTTGCTAATGTTGTTAGAATTCGTTCGACCTTACTTGTGGATCTTTGATGTCACCTTTTAAGAAGAAAGAAGAAAAAAAAAAAAAAAGAGGAGGAGGAGGAAGAATAAAAGGAGACGAGACGATGAGGAGAAGAACGAGAAGAAAAAAAAAGATAACATTTATGTTCATTTATATAAAAATAATTTAAAATAGTAAAAAATTAAAAAAATCATAAATAGTAAAATAAGAATATAAATAGTAAAATTTAAAAATAAATTTAAACTAACATTTTCTCTCTATCAACACCTTTTTTTTGGAAAAGGTCCCCAAGAGAGAGAAAAAAAAAGAAAAGAAAAGCACTAAGAAACTAACTCTTTCAACATCAAGGAGTCTACCACCAATAGACAGTAGTTAATACCGAATTACGAAAATTACTAAAAAGGTAGTTCTTTCAACATTAAAGAGTCTACGAATTACTTTTTGGATCACAATTCATCCTACTATATTAAATATAGTCAATTTACAATTCATCAAATTAGCAAATACAGCAGAATACATTGTTGAATGTTCTTAAGAGATTTTAGTCGTGTATCAATTTGCAAAAGCGCTTTATAATACTCTGTTATAGGATCATGTTTGTAGAAGATAAGAAGGACATGCAACCAGTCACTACTTCTATCTTTCCATGAAGAAGTAAAGTTTGGTCAATCTACAACCACATGGCTGTGAATGAACCACATCGATATTTGGCATAGGAGACAGCGTTGGTCGTTGAGTTTGACAAAGTGTTCTTAAAATAAAGGTAGGTTTTCAGTTCTTGAAGGTAGAGCGCGGTATGAACTTTACGACAATAGCTTGATCTATCTTCTGACCATTTTAATATTTAATCTCTTTGCTTTCTTGGGTAACAGCAAAACCAAATCTACAATGGCTTATTCTGCTTACATTATGTTTTGAACAGAAGCCTCGCTGCTTGGTTAAGCAATCCCATGTCATGGATGACCTCTTCGAAGGGTATTAGAAACCACTGGAAATGCCAATCGAACCA